TAAATTGTTCAAAATGCAAGGCTAGCTGAAACCTTCTTCTTTGCAGTTTGACTTGCATTTGGAGAATAAATGTAACATAGAACTGATGTGAGAGGGTAGAATGTATTTCAGAGATTAGAGAATTACTAGTAAGTTAGTAACAGTTTGAAATAATGCAGAAAAAATAGTTAGAGGTTGTTCTCCACATTTGTCTTGCCTGATGTGTATGATAACCATGTATAAATTTCTTTATAGCTTACATAGAACCACCACTGTAAAAATCTCTTATGTAGAAAAGAATTGATAGAGGTGGCGTCTGGGAGTTTCCAGTAAAGTAATTTAGTTTCGGTTGCATTCAAATTGATTTCATGATTGTATGCTTCGCATTGAGTTGGGTCTGGGTTTTAATTCAACTTCGTGGGTGTATGCTTTAGTTGTAAGATGGAGGATTTGTTAGATTATGTGTCCTAATGCATTTTGTTCTTCAATTAGCAAGGCCAAGGCTGGCCAAGTGCTTGTACTTTATTTTCAAGAAATAATAATAGGTTTCTTCATCTTGATTTAGTGAATATGTAGGGGCTAAATTTTTCCCTGCAAGGCTACGATCTACTTGTCATGGCATATCAGCAGCATCTGGGAAAGTTGGGGCAATTGTTGGGGCATTCGGGTTCTTATATGCAGCTCAGAATCAGGACCCAACTAAGATAGATAAAGGGTATCCACCGAGTATTGGTGTGAGGAATGCGCTCATGGTTCTTGGCGGAGTCAATTTCTTGGGTATGGTGTTTACGTTCTTGGTGCCTGAGTCAAAAGGAAAATCATTGGAGGAAATGTCTCAAGAGAACGAGGAAGATGAGGATGGATCGACGAAGATGAGACAGTAGACCAGTCATTGGCATATCAAAATTTGCTGATCAAGGCCATTGTTCATGCAAGTTCTAATATTTAATTGATTGTTTTTGTTCTATAATCCTTTTTAGTTCCACAATTTTCATGGGATAAAGACCTGTTTGATGATTGTTTTTATTTTTGTTGTGATTGTTCTAGTGAATTTTATTTTTAATTTTTGGGATTCTGTTTTTAAAAACCTAGATTGTATTTTACAGCAACTATACAAAGAATGCCAACTTTGGTATTTTTTTTCCATATTCTTGTAGCAGCAGCAGCTCGGAGAGAGAGGGGGGAGGGATTGATATTTCATTTCTAGAGGGGGAATTGATATTTCATTTCATATGAAAAAAAAAAAAAAAAAAAAAGTGGCACTTTTTCAAAAAACGCCACTAAATGATGTCATTGTGACGTCATCCGTTAGTTTGGGACAGAAGTTGAGACGGATGTCAAAGCTTTTGCGGCGTATTCAAAAATGCCGTCTAATAATTTTAGCGACGTTTTGTAAACGTTGCAAAGCTATTGCGGCGGCCGTATCAACGACGAAAAATTTAAACGTCGTTATAACATTTTGCAGCGTTTTTCAAAATTTTAGCGGCGTTTTAAAAATGCCCCTAAAACTCGTTTTTCTGAACCCTAAATTTCATATAGCAAATTTCACACACAAAAATAATTTAGGCACGAGCAAGTGAGGTCAAGCTGATGACTCTTTTCATAAGCAACCTTTGAACTGTTTCGTTTTCACCTACCATATATGTCACATCAACTCATGAAGAATTTTTTTACCTTTTTAATGCGGCGTATTCAAAAACGCCGTCTAATAATTTTAGCGACGTTTTGTAAACGTTGCAAAGCTATTGCGGCGGCCGTATCAACGACGAAAAATTTAAACGTCTTTATAACATTTTGCAGCGTTTTTCAAAATTTTAGCGGCGTTTTAAAAATGCCCCTAAAACTCGTTTTTCTGAACCCTAAATTTCATATAGCAAATTTCACACACAAAAATAATTTAGGCACGAGCAAGTGAGGTCAAGCTGATGACTCTTTTCATAAGCAACCTTTGAACTGTTTCGTTTTCACCTACCATATATGTCACATCAACTCATGAAGAATTTTTTTACCTTTTTAAAATTTTTTGTTTTTTTTTGCAACTACTTATTAACACTTCTACATAATATTTTTTTTTTAATAAAAGAAAAATCCTTAAATTATAACAATTTCCATCAGCAGTTATTATAATTATATTTGATTTATAAAATAATTGCACTAGTCTCTCTTTTAATAAAACAAACGGCAACACATTTGTTTTGCTTTTTTTGTTTTATTTATTTATTTCCATTTTTCTGTTTTAACCACCTTACTACTAGGTCTTACTGCCACACCCAAATCTCATTGAAGCCACAATAAGCCACCCTCCACTGGTATTTACTACCATCTACCTTCTACTCTCATTGCTATCCATACACTTTCATCTACACTCAAGTCAACAAAGTAAGGAAAGTCATTTACATTGACAAGATTTGATAATTTGCTAAACTTTTAGACAGTTTAGCCTATTATTGCAGGCCCACAAAAAATTTATTTATTTTTAATAAATATCTCAATCTTTTAAAGGCTTATAAGATTGACCTGATTTTGATATTGGGCTTGAGGAGTTTGCAAAAATATAATATTGGCATGGTAAATTTTGACACAAAGGAGTTGCTTTAAATGACAAGTATCAACTAAAAAAAAGTTTAACCATCGATTTTATTTTTATTTTTTCCTCAAATAAGTAGATGTGCGAAGAAATAAAAGGAGAGAAAATAAAGAGAAAAAAAAGAGTTGAAAATTTGGTTGGATCGCATTTAATGGAAAAGTTATTTGATCGTCTTTGGATATAGTCACGTAATGACTTAAAAATATTATAATTGATGAAAAAAATAAAATTTATAATTTTATATGAAATTATAAAATAATAATATAAGATATGATATTTAGTAATTAGGGAGAGACATCGTCGGCTAATGCGCTGGCCGACCAACAATTTTTCCATTTAATGGCCAGGCACATTGATTTCCAATTTTTAGAGTTGGACCCACACAAAAGGACAAAATACTCAGCAAAAAGTGGAACCCTTAATATGAGGTCCATGTCAAGTCTCTCAAGTCATAATGTCTTCTTTTTAATTTCTTCCGTATTTACTTGTTCTATTTCGACAAGTCTCTTGACTCATCATTTTTGGCTTCTGGCTCTGTCCACCTATTATCAACTATTATCTGTGATATTCACATGGCTATAACACAAATTTTTACAATATACCTATTTCTATTAATTTCTTCTGACTTAACACAAATAAATGGTGAGCAATGCTTTGCTACATTTTTAATTATGACTTGTTAAATCTTGTTAGTATTTGATGTAATCTTTGTTACAATACTAATCAAAGCTACGATAACAATCATATCAAATTGTAACTGCAAATTATGAATAGAGCCATAATTTCAAACCTATTGCATCGTAACCAAGGGGTGGGCATGCTACGAAGTTACGAAACCAGTAGCAGTTTAGATTGATTTTTTTTTTGTTTTTGTTTTTTTTAAAACACCATAGGAAATGCACATAAATTTTAACCTTGCATTAAATACGAAATAAGAGTTTGTTATTATTATTATTATAATAATAATAATTTTGTTAGTATGTGTCTTTAAAACATATGTTCAGAATTTTTTGAAATCTCTTCTTTTTTTTCTTTTTCTTTTTCTTTTTTTATCAGCAAAAGAAAAACTTTATTGATGAAGAAAAAATTTACAACGGAAGACTTACATCAATAAAGAAGAGAGGTGCAACAAGCATCCTAACTGTTAACATATTAATATAATTATTAATATAATATGTTACTATATTATAGTATCACTACTAAAGAAAGGGTCTTTTGAGTCGGTTTTTTGAGTCGGCAAATTTTACCGTCGCAAAAGGTAGCCTTTTTGAGACGGCACAGAGTTACCGACTCAAATACCAAACCTTTAGTGTCGGCACCGTTGGCCGACACAAAAAATTAATATTTTCTTTCGGCCTACTTTTCCTTATTATAGTGAATTATATCATAATGATGTTTTGTATCCAGCTCCTATATTATGGAGCCTCTATTTGGTTTTCTGAACATAGTGTTAATAACAGAGAGTTCTCTTTCAATATCACTCTCTCAACTCTCTCTCAACTTGTTTCACATGGTATCAGAGCACAGGTGTTTCTCCTAAGTCTCTGCATCACATTTTCTTTTCTTGGCAGATTGTTGCGTACCTCGTCCTTACCTAATATACAGAATGGACAACACCAGCACCTTCGTCTCTTCACGACGAAGCCAACGCCACCAGATTCATCATCATCTGAGGTCTCACGCGCCTCCACGCGCCGCCAGAACATTAGGCAACGCGCTGCCTCGTTTCAGACGCGCTCTACGCGCCTCCTATACTGTCCGGTGCTATTGTGCGCCACAGCCTCATCTGCTAACGTGAGCCGCGTGTTTCTGACGTCAGCCGGCGTCAGCCCTGGCTGCTTCCGTGCGCCGCGTGTTTCTCGCCTGCTAACTTGCGCCGCGCCACTCTATGCTAACGTGCGTCGCGCCTGTGACATCAGCCCTGCATCATCCTTGTTTGACCAGTCGTTGACTATTTCCATTTTCTGCTTTTCTGGTCATATTTTTGGTCCGTTCACTCATTTTCTGACTGATTTTGACCATCTGAATTCACTGGTAACCTCGGTTTTTTCAGATTCTACCTCAATTGTGCTATTTTTCTCTCATGGATCGCCTGGACTCCTCTAACCACCCTATTTCCGTTATTCTTGACAGGACTAATTATGTCATATGGGCACAAGCTATGCCTGGCTTCCTCAAAGGAAAGAAACTTTGGCGTATCATCACTGGGGATGTGTGCAAACCCGTTCAAGGGACCACGGATTCCGCTGCCATGGACTCCGCCACCAAATATGTCGACCGATTGGAAGATTGGGATAGTAAAAACTATCAGATCATCACTTGGTTTCGCAATACTTCCATTACATCTATCAGCCTTCAGTTTGGTCGGTTCCAACTTGACTCTGCTTCCTCTCCTGCCAAAGCCATCTGGGATTTTTTACAAGAACTACTAGCCTTGCTCACCAATATCAGCTTCTGAGTCATCTTCACCGTATGCGCCAAGAAACAACTCAGAACATTAATGATTTCCTCTCCCAAATGTATTATGTTTGGGATCAGCTCGCTCTTTCTGAACCTCCATGGGATTGTACTAAGGATGCTGCCTTTTTTACTACTTACCATGACCAACAGCGCTTGGTTCAGTTTCTCATGGCTCTCACTCCCCGATTTGAGCCAGTACGCGCATCTCTCCTTCATCGCACTCCTTTACCCACTCTTGAGCAAGCAATTTCTGAACTCCTGTCAGAGGAAACCAGATTTGGTACTCTCCATCCGCACCCTGTGGACTCTGTTCTTGCCACTCCCCAGATTCGAAGTTCTCCTTCCCCACCTTCACCACAGAAGTCCAATGCCTGCAATTACTGTCACAACCGCAATCTTCCGTCAACTCATCTTCTGGTTAATTGTCCAGTTCGTCTTTGTCGGTTTTGCAACAAGACTGGCCCTGGTCATCTCCAGCAAGACTGCTTCCGCAATCCCGCCCGTGCCTCTCGCAATGGTCCTTCCACCGGGAATTTTTCTCGCAGCCACTCTCACCGTTCTGGGACTCAGTTTAAACCAATGCCCGCTCAACGCACTGCTGCTGCTGCCTCAGAGGATTTACCTTCCTCTGTTCCTATAGACCCTTCCACTCCAGTCTTCTCTCAAACTGATGTCGAAGCCATGTTTCAACATTTTTGGCAGCGTTCCGGTACTCCTCCATCTACTGCTTTATCTGTCACCGCAGGTAACACTTCTTGGTACTTTGACTCCGCTTGTTGTAATCACATGACTTTTGACCCCACTATTTTTACTCCTCTCTCTTCTCCTCCTTCTGTTCCTTCTATCCATACTGCTGATGGGTCTCTTCTGTCTGTAAGTCATGTTGGTTCTGTTTCAACCTCTCACTTATCTTTATCCCATGTCTATCTTATGCCTGCTTTTACTTTAAATCTTATCTCCATTAGTCAATTATGTGAGCATGGTCTAACTGTTACCTTTTCCCGTACTGGTTGTTTGGTGCAGGACCCTCGGACGGGGCAAACTCTTGGGATATGCCGTAAGCATGGACGTCTCTACAAACTCATCCATCTTCATGTTCTCGATTCCTCTCATATCACAGCTCCTACCACTGCTACCACTGCTCATCTTTTATCTCCTTTTCAGCTTTGGCATTGTCGTTTAGGCCATCTTTCTGTTAGTCGTTTAAAATCTTTAATTTTCAGTGGTCATTTAGGCCATGTAAGTTCTGATGTTTTAGATTGTGTGTCCTGTCAACTTGCCAAACAACCTGCCTTGTCATTTAATAAAAATGCGTCTGTTTCTCTTGCACCATTTGATCTCATTCATTCTGATATTTGGGGACCCTCTCATACTCCTACTATGGGAGGCGCACACTATTTTGTTGTTTTTATAGATGATTTTTCCCGTTTTACATGGTTGTTTCTTATGAAAAATCGCTCTGAGCTCAAACAACTTTATTACAATTTTGCTGCAATGGTTAAAACACAATTTTCTAAAAATATTAAGCTTTTTCGCTCCGACAATGCCATGGAATATAAAGATTTTGACTTTCTTTCCTTTCTTCAGCGTCATGGTACTCAACCTCATCGTTCTTGTCCCGGTACGTCTCAACAAAATGGACGTGCTGAATGGAAACATCGACATATCCTTGACACTACTCGAGCTCTCTTCTGTCTTCCTCTTGTCCGGAACATTTTTGGGGAGAGGCCGCTCTCACTGCTGCTTACACTATCAATTGTATCCCTACACCTGTCATTCATAATCACACTCCTTATGAGCGTCTGCATGGCACCCGTCCCCCTTACACCAACCTTAGGGTCTTTGGATCTGCCTGTTTTGTTCTTCTCCAACCTCATGAACGTACCAAACTTGAACCACATTCTCGTCTTTGTTGCTTCTTAGGGTATGGTATTGAACACAAGGGGTATCGTTGTTGGGATCCTCTCTCCCAGCGACTTCGTATCTCTCGTCATGTAGTCTTTTGGGAACACAAAATGTTTTTCTCTCTCTTTCTCTTCCGTTTGTCTGTTCCCTCATCCTCTCTATTTTTTACTGACCCTTCCACGGATCTGTTCTCTGATGAGCTTACCCCACCGCCCTTGCCAGCCTCTCTCGAGTTCTCTGATGAGCTTACTCCACCGCCCCTACCAGCCTCTCTTAAGCCTACCTTGCCTACCTCTGATGAGCTTACCCCACCGCCCTTGCCAGCCTCTCTCGAGTTCTCTGATGAGCTTACTCCACCGGCCCTACCAGCCTCTCTCGAGCCTGCCTTGCCTACTGGTCTGTTCCATGCACCTGCTACCTCTGATGGTCCTGCTCTTGCTCCCTCGGGATCCTCCCCTCCTGGTGAGTCTCTCCCTCTGGCTCCTCCTGCCTCTACTCGACCACACCGGGTAACCCAACCTTCTACTCGTCTTCGTGACTTTATTGTTGGTTCTATTGCTTTTTCTACTTATGAACCGACCTCCTATCGTGAGGCTCGCTCTAATCCTCTTTGGCAGCAAGCTATGACTGATGAATTGCAGGCTTTAGACAAAACTCACACTTGGGACAATGTTGATCTTCCTCCTGGCAAGACTGCCATTGGTTGCAAATGGGTCTACAAAATCAAAACTTGTTCTGATGGATCTATTGAGCGCTACAAAGCCCGCCTTGTTGCCAAAGGCTTCACCCAAGAATATGGTATTGACTATGAGGAGACCTTTGCTCCTGTTGTTCGTCTCACCTCTGTTCGCAGCCTGATTGCGGTTGCTACCACTCGACACTGGGATCTTTATCAAATGGACGTGAAAAATGCTTTCCTTAATGGTGTTCTTCTTGAGGAGGTCTACATGCAACCTCCCTCTGGGTCTACTTATCCACCTCATAAAGTCTGCAAACTTCAGCGTGCTTTATATGGTCTCAAACAAGCTCCGCGTGCTTGGTTTACCAAGTTCAGCTCTACTATTCATGACTGTGGTTTCACCTCCAGTTCTTATGATACTGCTCTTTTTATCCGGAACACTGCTCAAGGGACCACCTTGCTTCTTCTTTATGTGGATGATATGATTATCACCGGCGACGATCTTGATGGTATTCTATGCCTTAAACAGTTTCTTAGCCATCATTTCGAGATGAAAGATCTTGGTCCTCTCAGCTATTTCTTGGGTCTTGAAATCTTCCATGATTCCACGGGGTCTTTTCTCTCTCAAGCTAAGTATACCTCTGATCTTCTCACCCGCACTGGTCTTACGGATTGCAAGACTGCCTCCATTCCCCTGGAGCCTCAAAGTCGTCTTACACCTCTTGATGGCACTCTTATCTCTGATGCTACCCTATATCGTCAGCTGGTTGGCAGCCTTGTCTATCTCACTGTTACTCGTCCTGATATTGCCTATGCCGTTCATATTGTCAGCCAGTTTATGTCAGCTCCTCGTACCACACATTATGCTGCCTTACTTCGTATCCTTCGGTATCTCAAAGGCACCATGTTTCATGGACTTCATTATTCCGCCCGCTCCTCTCTCCAGCTTCGTGCCTTTTCCGATGCTGATTGGGCTGGGGATCCTACTGACCGGCGCTCTACTACCGGGTTCTGCTTTTTCTTGGGTGATTCTCTTATTTCTTGGCGCAGCAAGAAACAATCTCTTACTGCTCGCTCCAGTACCGAGGCCGAATATCGTGCTCTTGCTGATACTACTCAGGAGCTTCTCTGGCTTCGTTGGCTTCTTGCTGACATGGGTGTTTTCCCCTCTGGCGCTACTGCCCTCTTTTGTGACAATCAAAGTTCTCTTCAAATAGCTCACAATGATGTTTTTCATGATCGCACCAAGCACATTGAGATTGACTGTCATTTTATTCGTCAACACGTCACTCGTGGTACTGTCCATCTTCATCCAATCTCCTCTGCTGATCAACCTGCTGATATCTTCACCAAAGCTCATTCTCCTGGCCGCTTCGTTGAACTTGTCTCCAAACTCCAGTTGGTTGATGTTTGTCCTCCTTGAGTTTGAGGGGGGCTGTTAACATATTAATATAATTATTAATATAATATGTTACTATATTATAGTATGTATATAATAGGAATATATTATAGTATGTATATAATAGCTTTCGGCTTGTCCCTGCTTTCGGCCGCCCACCTTCTTTCGGCCTACTTTTCCTTATTATAGTGAATTATATCATAATGATGTTTTGTATCCAGCTCCTATATTATGGAGCCTCTATTTGGTTTCTGAACATAGTGTTAATAACAGAGAGTTCTCTTTCAATATCACTCTCTTAACTCTCTCTCAACTTGTTTCACACTAACTAATTAATAAAAAAGCATTATTACACATGTTAATAAACAAAGTTTGTTATTATTATAATAAAAAAATTAATTGATAAAAAAAAAATACAAACAAGCAACAAAACAACAATAAATCCAAGTGAAAAAATTGCATCATTTGCATATCCCAACTGGATTGGCATGGCACATATACAATGGCCAATTATGTGCATACCAAGACAGAAATGGAAAAATCACCCCTCGCCGACCCGCACAGGAGGTTAGCAAGGTGCCAACCTCAAAACCCCAGTTCAGTTTCACAAGAAGCTTATGATAATTTATCTGCCAATATAAAATTAGAAATGGAAGCATGTTTTAGCAGACTCTTTGGGAGATGATACTGCTTTTTTTTCTTTTTTTTTTTTCCCTTCTGTTTTATAAATTGTGTATGTGACAGTGTTTTGCACAAAAACAACTGGTGAACATTAAAGTGACAACAGGGGATGAAGTTAGGCAAGTGGGTTTTCGCCTGTCGGTTGCCATAGTGGCAGTTTTTGCCTGTTGGTTTTGTGTGATGAGATCTTTATGCTAATTTAGTTGGGATTATTATTATTTTTTTCTATCCTTTGCCTTTATTATTTAATGTCAATGTATTGTTACTTGATTATTATCAATAAAATTGCTTTTTGCTGTTTTTCACACACACCAAAAAAAAAAAAAAAAAACAAGAAGAAGGTAGGCAAGTGGGAACTCACCACAAATGAGAAAATGAAGGTTACAAATGAGAAAATGAAGGTTGACTTCTTCAGAATAGGCACTGGCAAGCAGTACTTTACTTATATAGTTTGTATATTCACATTTTCTTTTTCTCTCTCTTTCCTATATAAACCACAATCCCCACATACTTTCTCTTCCCATCACCAACCCCTCAAGCTCTTTCTTTTTCTTCTGCCTCAAATTTCCTCACTGCTCAGATCTCTCTTTCTCTCTATCTCTCTAAATATATATATATATATATATATCATCTGTTTTTGATCAGATGATCAACATGGAACACAAGGCTTTTCTTCCAGTACTGCTTGTGCTGTTTTTGGGATTTTCTCTTGTTTTCTCATCTGCTGCTGTTCCTACATCCAGTATGTAATTTGTAGAGATCAAACATTGGTTTCAATGCTGTTTTGTCTTAGGTTTTTTATTTTAAAATTAATGATATGTGTAAATTAATGAGTTGTCTCGTTATTGTGTTGATTAACAGGAAGCCTCAAGTCTTTTAAGGATGACCCATCAATCCATGATTTACTTGCTCAGGTCACCTCCCTCTCTCTCTCTCTCTCTCCCCTACATCAAAATTCAAGATCCTTATGTTCTATTTGGTGGCTTTAAAATTTGGAAAAACATATTTTCATTTTAATTTGTTTAGGCATTAGGAGGAGGGTAGAAATTGAAAAAAATAATATAGAAGCCTTATAGCTGTCAGATTCCTATATTCATTTTTATTTTATATTATTTTTGCAAGTACTACATATCTTTGAATGGGATCATAAATGGAGACCATACATAGGCATTATTCAGTCCCTCTTTCTTTTCTTCTTGATATTTTCAATTTTTTTATTACTAAATGGATATTTAATTACTATACTTTTAATGGAGAATACAAATAAATGGGATTAGAAAAACTAGTAGCAAATTTGAGGATTAGCTGCGTCATACACCGTTCTCACTTGCATTAATTTTGTAATTAGTTTTCCTATGTACTATTTATTTTAATCCCATTTTTATTTTTCTTTTTAAATTAATTTATTCCTCTTCTCTCTCAAACTTTCTTCAATTCTTTCACATCATTTTTTTTTTTTTTTTTTTTTTTTTGGTTTTTTAGTCTAAAGTGCTTTATGTATTATGGGTGATTAAATTAATTGTGAGTTGTTCAAAAATCTAACAGGGTGAAATGGAAATGGGGAGCGAAGGAGAGATATCAGATGTGGAACAAGTATTCATAGAAGGGAGGATGGTTATAGCAAATACAGACTATCCAGGAACAGGAGCAAACAACCACCATGATCCCCCAAAACCCCCTGGAAGATTTTGACTTCCACGGCTTGTCTCTCTCTACTACATGTTTTACTATATCAATTATAAACTATAAAAATTTTCAGAGAGTTGAAAATAAGCATCGATTCGAAGATTTTTGAATGGGTCTTTTGAATTGTTGCTAAATCCATAGACAAGCAAGAGATAACATGGTGGAAAAATGGATTGTTTCAAATTAATCTTATCAGTCCAAGCGAACAAATTTCCTTCTAGGGGAGTGAAAATAAAGTGGTTTTTATAGTTGAAGAGTCCAAAAATATACTGTTTTAGAGTGACATTCAATAATAATTGAGGAGTAAACTGTAATTAACTTTTTTTATTTTTATTTAAATGGTGATAAGCTTGGTTTGGAGTGTCTTGCCTTGTTAAGCATGTGCCCTCTATTAGGTACATCTGATTAAGTTTTTTTTCTATTGTACTCTTTACACAGTACAATCTGACATGATTTAGAAAATTTTGGGAGGTTCACTCATGGTGTAGGCTTTTTTTGGGCCCTGGTTGTATATGTATATGCTAATTAAATACTAGATTCTCTTTGTAATGTTGGGACTTGTGACTAAACGCAACTGTTGGATTTGAGCACTACATGAAGATGAAATGTTTTTTTTTTTTCCCCATGTATCTATAAAAAAAAAAGAAAAGAAAAGAAAAGAAAAGAAAGATCAAATGCTTTTGTTCTTTGAAAAAAGGGTAAAATTCACTACATCTTAATTTGTTTTTTTTTTTTTCCTCAAAGTGTAGTATTGCTTATGAAATTAAGGAATGATCACTTGGAGCAAAATTGAAATAAAATTAACAACAAAAATAATTGGTTTGATTCTACAGCTATGTCATTCAACTTATCTTATTGGGAGACTGTTTGGGAATTTGACTTTTTCATTAAAAATTTTAAAATGTTAGTAAAAACATCAAAAATTTATTAAGAAAAAAAGTAAAACCTAAACACCTTAATAATTCACAATTTATTAACTGATAGAAGATATTATAAATATAAAGCTAGTAATATCCAATCACACATTCACTTATGAAAGAAAATTCAAAAGCTTCACATTCAACTTGTCATGTATTTAAAAATTGCCAGGTTGGCAAGCAGTAATTTTTTTTATATTAATTGATAAAAGATAAATTATAAATATGCTGATAATTATAGCATACTATTCAAGTAATTCCATCCTAAACTTCCACAATCAATCTCGAAAATGGGTGGTTCATGGCCGCGGGGGGCTTGTGGAAGTATAGAGTTCATAGCGGAAGGTGGTCGCAATTGGAGGGGGAAAGAGGCAATGAAAGGGGATGGTAAATGAGAGAGGTGGGGCTGGCAATGGAGGATGGTTGTGATATTTTAGAATTAGGGTTTTGGGTGGAAGAAAATAAGGATATTATGGTATTTTATTCTATAACAAAATTTTATTAAGAAAAATTTTCATTAAGTATGTGAACTGAGAAGAATTGATGTGTGGAAATAAAATTAACCTAAATATTCACCTATGAGAAAAAATCTAATATTTTAAGGTTTGAATAACATTTTTGAATTTAGTGTGGGTTTGATAAAAAAAATTTAGAAGCCTAAAATAAATTTGGCTCGCGTTTGGGTAGGAAAACAACAAATAACTCAAGCAATCCAAAACCCAAATCATATATATAAATATATAAAAATATTTAATATAATACAAATTATTAGACTTTAATTGATTTTAAAATATTTTGTATCGCTAAATTATATTTATTATATATTTTCTATACACAAGTAACATAATAAAAAAACTTTACTCTTTAGTCTCACTAAAAAATAACGAAGACTATTGCAGGTGCACAACTTTTTAATATCATATAAAATATTTATTTTGATATTATTAATGATTTTTGTCAAAAATATTAAGAAAATCTAGTGTTAACAAATTAATCAACTTAGCAAAAATAAATAAATAATCAAATTTTTGTGCAATTCAAGCCTACCTCAGGTTAAATTTAGATAGACAACCTCGAATTACAAGTTATTAAGCTTGAGAAATTCTTAGCATTACTTGGATCAGGGCTAGACAACCTTTTAATACAATCAAACTTGTCAAATTGCACCCAAAATAAACCCAACAAAATAAGAGTCGTAGGGGTGAGCTGCTAAGGTAATTGGATCAATTATCTTATCATGAGCATGGTCAGGATTGGTTTAGTTTGAGATAAAATATAGTGACCCTAGTTTGAATTTGACCCGTTGATGTTTCGAATCCGGATTTCATTGCCTTTTTGGTTGTTCATGTCTTGACTCTACTCATTGTTTATTGGGTTTGGTTTTTAGAGTGTCTTGGTTGTGTTGGGAATAGGTTGGTAACTCGTTTCTCGAATTGTCGTTACCTAAAATTTTGCTTCTGCACTCGAGCAGCACTTTCTGCGTTCAAGCGGTTATTGTGAACTTTCAGCACTTTTGCAGGTCTGCAAAGATATTTGGAATTGTCATTCTTTGCTCGAGTGGCCATTCTTGCGTTTGAGCGGTGTTCGCTCGAGCGGCACTTCTTGTGCTCGAGCGATGGTCACTTGTCTTAAAACTTTTGAGAGTTTGTATTATACGCTCGAGTGACACTTCTTGCGCTCGAGCTGTCACATTTTGTGTTTGAACGCTCGAGCGGTCTACGTGTCTATATATGGCTATAGTGCGCTGAAAAAGTTACTTTTTTCTTTTCTCTCTCTTCTCTCTCTCTTTCCTTCGCCATTTTAGGGTTTCGTAGACCTAAAAGCTTGGGTTTCATCTAGTTACTCCCATTTTCTACCCCTAGTCCTATAGATCAAAACGTAGAGGGTTGCGAGGGCTTCGATTTAATCTGAGCGGATCATGTTTTCGTCGTCGGTGGATTTTCGGATTTTCTCCTTTTTGCTCCAAGAGGTATTGCGTGTATAATTGGTTGTGGATTATAAATCATGTTTAGGATATAAATTGGAAAGGTTTGGTATTTTGTTTATTGATTTGGGATATTAAAGAGAAGTTTAATGTTAAATGGAAATGGGGTTATGATGTGGTTGTTTAGGAATAATTGTAGACAACCTCGAATTACAAGTTATTAAGCTTGAGAAATTCTTAGCATTACTTGGATCAGGGCTAGACAACCTTTTAATACAATCAAACTTGTCAAATTGCACCCAAAATAAACCCAACAAAATAAGAGTCGTAGGGGTGAGCTGCTAAGGTAATTGGATCAATTATCTTATCATGAGCATGGTCAGGATTGGTTTAGTTTGAGATAAAATATAGTGACCCTGGTTTGAATATGACCTGTTGATGTTTTGGATCCGGGTTTCATTGCCTTTTTGGTTGTTCATGTCTTGACTCTACTCATTGTTTATTGGGTTTGGTTATTAGAGTGTCTTGGTTGCGTTGGGAATAGGTTGGTAACTCGTTTCTCGAATTGTCATTACCTAAAATTTTGCTTCTGCGCTCGAGCGGCACTTCCTGCGTTCAAGCGGTTATTGTGAACTTCCAGCACTTTTGCAGGTCTGCAAAGATATAAGGAATTGTCATTCTTTGCTTGAGCGGCCATTCTTGCGCTCGAGCGGCACTTCTTGTGCTTGAGCGATGGTCACTTGTCTTAAAACTTTTGAGACTTTGTATTATACACTCGAGCGACACTTCTTGCGCTCGAGCGGTCACATTTTTGTGTTTAGACGCTCGAGTGGTCTACATGTCTATATAAGGCCGTAGTGCGCTGAAAAAGTTACTTTTTTCTTTTCTCTCTCTTCTCGCTCTCCTTTTTTCGCCATTTTAGGGTTTCGTAGACCTAAAAGCTTGGGTTTCATCTAGTTACTCCCATTTTCTACCCCTAGTCCTATAGATCAAAACGTAGAGGGTTGCGAGGGCTTCGATTTAATCTGAGCGGATCATGTTTTCGTCGTCGGTGGATTTTCGGATTTTCTCCTTTTTGCTCCAAGAGGTATTGCGTGTATAATTGGTTGTGGATTATAAATCATGTTTAGGATATAAATTGGAAAGGTTTGGTATTTTGTTTATTGATTTGGGATATTAAAGAGAAGTTTAATGTTAAATGGAAATGGGGTTATGATGTGGTTGTTTAGGAATAATTGGGGTTTTGGATTAATGTGGATGGACGTGACCTTTGTGGTGTTTGTTGGGATTTGGAGTAGTGAAGCCTTATTTTCGAAACAAAATAAAACTAATTACCCTTTTTATAAAACATGAGAGTTGCAATGAACGACAGTATGGAATTACCTAAGGCTATTTATTATTTCAGATTATGTAGTTGGCGTCTAGAGTTTTGCCATTGGCCATCAGTAGATGATAGTATTGATTGTTGGTAGACATATGCCATGTGTACTAGTGTAGGATGGACTATGTAATATGAGATGATATGTTGTTGGTTGGAAGTAGACATTGTGAATAGACAATTCCGTTCGTGAGTTATGAATTATGTTGTTAAAGAGATAATTGGAACGTTTGTTAGTGTTGTTTCCGTTGAGAGACTAGTGTTAAATAGTTAAGTTCTTTGTTCCTTTCCGGTTTGCGGCCCGTAAAGTATGACCTGAGGAGCACCTCTTTCCGGGTGAGGTCGGTAAAGTGTTATGTGCTATTGGTATTATTGGATCTGTCATCCGTGCTGTAAGCCGGTGGAGATGTGATTAGTAGTATGTATTACTTTGGTTATCTTATTTGAATGTATATATGTGTTAACGGTTTCATAGGGGTCACCCTTTTTAAATCCTTGGGCCTATGGTTAGGGAAGGTTGTAGATACATATATTGCGATGTAAACGCATATGGTGTATTGGGAGGTAGGATGGGGATTATGATTCGCATGTGAGGTTATATTATCAGAACGAATGTTTAAGTGAGATTGAGGTTAGAAAACATTTTCTTTTGGAAGTAATGATGGGAATGTTAAAGAGAAGAAATGATTTTTATGAATTGTGTCAAGAATAACGTTTTGAGGAGGAAAAAAAAAACACAGTTATAGGAGTATGTTTTGGATATTAAATGTCACACTACTTATATAGTATGTCATGATGCACTCATGATCATTTTTATCTATATGTTGTGATTGGTTAGGATCTTTGGAATCTCTACTAGGCTTAGTGCTCATCCCACGTGTTGATAAACTTGTTTTCAGGTACAAGGCTGGAGGAATCGTGTATGACTTGAAGTCTTTTAATTGTTGGTCACGAGGCGTTTACTTGTTGGCCGTGTGCCATGTATTGTATAAGGGTAAATCCCTTTTGTTTTATTTATGGTTATACAATGTAAGCCTAAGGGCATTGTACCATGTCTTAATTATATCATCATTGTTATTGTGAGTGAATGTCATTATTTATTCTTATTCATGTTCTCAACTAAATGGAATTATCATAATGGATTTGGTAATGGATTCGAATAATAAAAGTTGGGGCGTGACATAAAATCAGGACTAATCTGTTATCTACAGTTCTATAAGAATTGGAAACAAATCAATTCATTTAAATCATGGAACCAATCCAAACCAAATCATTTAAACATGGTTTGGCTCGGTTTGGCTCGATTTGGAACTACGGTTTCACATAATCTATTCACAAGAAAAATCATATAACATTTTCAAAAAAAATCAACCTCTAATAAATTGTTCAACACTAATTTGTCCATGATTTTTCGAAACATAACTTAAACAAACATAATATCTAATAAATAAAATATTATTTAACATGTAGTAAGTACAAAACTCTTATTAAACAAACATTTTGTCATGGCAACAACAATTATAAAACTAAAACTATGCTAAATAATTTTAAAAAGCAACAAGAATAGTAGCAAGAACAACAATAAGAGAAAAAGAAAATTCAAAGAAAAATGGAGGAAGGAAGGCATGGTGGATGGATCCCTATGTTGAAACAGAGAGGAAGAAAATGAGGATGGAGAAAGGAAGCAAATGCAAGACTATTCACAATATTTGTGGATGAACTACCAAGCTCAATGAATCCGAAGAAGTTGTTTGATATATTCAGGAAGTTTGGAGTGGTGAAAGATGTATACATCCCACAGAAGAGAAGGAAAGTAAGGAATACTAAATTTTCTTTCGTCAGATTTGACTGTGCAGTGGTAGTTGAAGTAGCAATGCAAAAGGCAAATGGGATATGGGTGGAGGACAAGAAACTAGAAGTAAAGCATGCAGATTATGGTAAGGAGAAACCTGAAAAGAAAGGATACCATCAACCTAAACCAAAAGGTTCTTTTACTAATGGAAGGGGTGGAAGTAGTGTTTGGAAACCAGCAACAGGATTTGGATCTTATGTAGAGGTCACTAAGAACACTAGTAACATGGAAGGAGGAATTGTTATAATCAAGGCAGAGGAAATAGGAAATGGGTGGCTATATGACAGTGTTGTGGTACACCTTAAACCAGAGTATGCCAACTTTAAACTCAAAGAAGAAATTTAGGAGAGAGACATAAAGAATGTATTGGTGTGGAATGATGGGGGTATGGATGTATTGTTAAATTTTAAATCAGAAGAGGAAAGGAAAACAAATATGGGGACCATAAAGGAGTGGGTAGGATTGGTGTGAGGATATAGTGGAGTGGGAACCTGATCTAGTTAGAGCAAAAGAACGTAAGGTGTGGTTATGTTGCTATGGATTACCATGGAATTTATGGAGTAGAACTACATTGAATAGAATTGGTAATCTTTGGAGGGAAGTTATCTGTATTGCGGGTGATTTGTGCAACCCAGTAGCATTCAAGTGTGTAAAAATTCAAATAGTAACCAGATGTATGGAGCCAATCAATAAAGCCATTAATCTGGAATGCAAGGGTACTTCTCATTTTGTGAGAGTGTAGGAACAACATACTGTGGTTCCAAATATCATGGTATGGAGATGTAGCTGTAGAAAGAAGTATGGTGGGGAGGAGATTTACAGTTCAAACAAAGGAGATAGGAAAAATGTCAGAGATGAAGTTGAAGATGATGATGACTGGGAGGATGAGTCAACACGAAAGCTAGACTAGGCTAAGGAGGTGTCAAAAGGGGATGTGACATGTGAAAAAAAGAATAGGGATGAGGTGGACAAAGAGTTACCTGGGAGAACTGAAACGGTGGTGGCAGAGTCTGCTGGCAATGAGCTTGAGGAAAGGGCAGAAAGTATTATAAAGGTAGTTGGGAACATAAACAATGGCTATAAAATGGAATGTCCGAAGTGTGATGATCAGGTTGTCATGCCTGGTTTTGCAAGAAGCCTAAGTGGTTCAAGTTTACTAAAACCTAGGGTGGAAGTAGAGGTGGAGTTGGCCCTAGTAATGAGATGGGCTTAAGAGATGGGTTGGACAATAAGAAGAAAAGTGTGGTGGTACAAGACCTAGGTTTGGTGTCTGATTTACAATGTGGGCCAAAAAGTGTATTAGGGCTTATGTTAAATTCAGAGATGTCATAGACCCATTAAGGTGAAGTCCGTTTAAGACAAAAGATCAAACAGAAAAAAGAAAAGAAGAAAGTAGTAAGGAAATCAAGTGGAAAAAAAGATAAAAGAGATGAAAAAGGGTTATCTCGATTTTGCAAAAAGATATGGCCATAAAGGAGCGTCATCAAGTAAACTAGGTTCAAAAGGGGCAATATGGAGAGCAACAGTTGTGACACTGTCTTTTTCAGCATCATCTTAAAGTAGAGTGGCTGGAGGCAGAAATGTACTTAAAGAGACTCATGCAACCTTTTAAATGGGTAAATTATTGGGAGTAAAATGCAAAGGTAACGAAGATGAAGTGTTGTCAAAAATTCTGGACCTAGAGGTAAAGGATAGAGAAAGAATGGGAGGGGGCACTGTTGCTGCAGTTTAAAGTGCAGTTATTAGGGGGCTGGGGTAAATGTCATTGTTTAACAATGAGGATACTATCATGGAATGTAAGGGGATTGGGAAGAAAGGAAAAAATGAGTAAAATTAAAAGCATGATGAAAGCTAGAGAAGTTGACATTGTAATGTTCCAGGAGACAAAGAAAGCATCTATGTCAGAAAAGGAGGTTCCGAACACATACTTTCTGAGGAGGTGAGGTAATTTTGGGCTAGGGAGAGGATGGATTTTATGACAGTGGATGCTGAAAGGAACTGCTAGTGGTCTATTATGTATATGGGATCCAGAAGTGTTTCAAGTCTTAGGTTGCTGCTATAGTAAATAAATCTAAAAATATGAACGGTTCGGATTATCAAAATTGGGCCTCAAAGTGAGCCCGAAGGCCTTGCAAGGAGGGAATGAAGGACCAAAATGAAGGGGAGGATCCCAATTCGAAAAAGGGTTATCTCGATTTTGCAAAAAGATATGGCCATAAAGGAGCTTCATCAAGTAAACTAGGTCCAAAAGGGGCAATATGGAGAGCAACAGCTGCGACAGTGTCTTTTTCAGCATCATCTTAAAGTAGAGTGGCTGGAGGCAGAAATGTACTTATAGAGACTCATGCAACCTTTTAAATGGGTAAATTATTGGGAGTAAAATGCAAAGGTAATGAAGAGGAAGTGTTGTAAAAAATTCTGGACCTAGAGGTAAAGGACAGAGAAAGAATGGGAGGGGGCACTGTTGCTGCAGTTTAAAGTGCAGTTATTAGGGGGCTGGGGTAAATGTCATTGTTTAACAATGAGGATACTATCATGGAATGTAAGGGGATTGGGAAGAAAGGAAAAAATGAGTAAAATTAAAAGCATGATGAAAGCTAGAGAAGTTGACATTGTAATGTTCCAGGAGACAAAGAAAGCATCTATGTCAGAAAAGGAGGTGAGGTAATTTTGGGCTAGGGAGAGGATGGATTTTATGACAGTGGATGCTGAAAGGAACTGCTAGTGGTCTATTATGTATATGGGATCCAGAAGTGTTTCAAGTCTTAGGTTGCTGCTATAGTAGAAGATATATTCTTCTATCAAGTACCTTATTTCTTTTCTTTTGAATGTGGCATAGTTAATTTATGTGCACCAAAGGAAGTGGGGCAAAGATAGAAACTATGGGAGAGTCTGTTGAAGCTAAAGGATGAGTTCTCTAATCCTTGGTGCTTATGGGTTGATTTTAATGAAATCAAGAATATTGGAGAGAGAAAAGAGTGTTCTAGAAGGGACAAATGTATGAAGGAGCTGAATGACTTCATTGATAAAAGTGAGGTGAATGATTTACCCTTTTTAGGTAAAAGGTATACATGGTGCAACTCATGGGAAGGGAAAAAATGGAGCAGAATTGACAGGGTATTAGTAGAACCAAAATGGTTGGAATCATTTAATCTAAAGTTGTAGGGGTTACCTAGAGTATTGTCCGATCATAGTCATTTACTCTTGATGGAGGATGAGAGAGATTGGGATCCCAGGCCCTTTAGGTTTTTTAATGCATGGACACTACATCCAAACTTCTTACCTTTTGTGGGAAAGTGGTAGAAGGAGAATGATGTGGAGGGATGGGTTGGTTTCAGATTATTTAAAAAGATGAAAGAGTTGAAGCTAGCACTGAAACAGTAAAATAGTGAAGCATTTGGGAATGTAAATACAAAATGAAGCAAGCAGAGGATGAGTTGCATAAGATTGGTTTGGTAACAGAGGAAAGAAAGCTTGAAATGACAGAAAAAGCAAGAAGAAGAGAGGTTAGTGATAAAGCTTGTAGAATGTATAGGATGGTAGAGTGGTTGTGGCTTCAAAAATCAAGACTAAATTAGGATTTGAAAGGAGATAAAAATACAAGATATTTCCACGTGGTAGTCAAATATAAACAGGGGAGAAATTAGATAAACTCTTTAACTGTTGGGGATGAGATATTTGAAAATCCATGCAAAGTAATGTAAGAGGTTCAAGCCTATTTTCAAAGACAATTCACAGAGGATTGGAAATCAAGACCTATATTGGAGGGATCATTTAAGTCAGCAAAGAACAGCCCATATTTTGATTTGTTGGAAGCAGAGTTTACTGAAGCAGAGTTTAGGTGTGTTGTCAAGGATTGTGATGGTAATAAGGCTCCAGACCCAGATAGGTTTAACTTGACATGTATTCAGAAAATATGGAAAATAATGAAGGGTGATGTGTTCAATTTCATGGCTGAATTCCATAAAAATTAGTCACCTGGTTAAAGAGATCAGTAGCTCTTTTATCACTTTGGTCCCTAAGAAGGAGAATCCTGTGGGTTTAGCTGATTATAAGCCAGATACAGTGGAGGCTATTCTTAATTGGTGGGCAGGGGTGAGGCTTAGCAAAAAAGAGAGAGTGATGTGTAGCTGATTATAGACCTATTAGTTTGGTTAGTTCACTTTATAAAATTCTTACTAAGGTCTTATCATTCAGGTTGAAGGCAATGATTCCTCAAATCCTTAGTGAAAATCAATTAACTTTTATTGGAGGAAGAAACATACTAGATGGAGTGTAGGTGGTTAATGAGGTTATTGATAGTTGGAAGAAATCTAGAAAAAGAGGTTTGATCATAAAGCTAGACTTTGAGAAAGCTTATGACTCATTGAATTGGGACTTTCTGTTTTCAATGATGAAAAATTTTGAGTTTAGAGAAAAGTGGGTGGGATGGATTAAGGAGTGTATTACCTTATCTAGATTATCTGTGCTGGTTAATAGAGCACCTACTGATGAATTCAATCCACAAAAAGGGCTTAGACAAGGGGACTCTCTGTCCCCTTTCTTGTTTAATGTAGTAGCAGAGGGTTTAAGTATTTTAATGTCTAGAGCCTTGGATTTGGAGTCGATATCAGGGGTGTAGATTGGCTCAGGTGGGGTAGTTCTTACTTACCTTCAGTTTGCAGATGATACTTTAATATTGTGTGAAGCTGATATATTCGAAGTTAGTAATGTGAAGAGGATTCTTAGGTGTTTTGAGATGCTATCTGGATTGAGGATAAACTACCATAAAAGTGTGGTTAGTAGAGTGGGTGTTCCAATTGAAGATTTGAATGAGTATGCATCAGTGCTAAATTCCAAAGTTAAAAGTCTGCCTTTTCACTACTTAGGTCTACCGGTGGGTGCCAACCCTAATAGAAAAGCATTTTGGAGACCTGTGTTGGATAAAGTTAGAAGCAAATTGGCAGGTTGGAAAAAGAAATTACTTTCATTTGCAGGGAGGCTTACTTTAATAAAATATGTTCTTTCTTCATTGCTTATATACTATTTGTGTTTATATAAATTGCCTAAGGGGGTTGGTAAAGAGCTGGATAAGCTTCAGGCCTCATTCCTTTGGAGAGGGTCTAAAATAAGAAAGAAGGTCCGCCATGTAAACTGGAAGGAAGTATCCCAACCTATTGAGCAAGGGGGATTGGGGGTGAGGAGAGTTAAAGAGGCCAATGATTGCCTTTTATTGAAATGGTGGTGGAGGTTTGGTATTGAGAGTAAAGCACTGTGGAAAAGAGTCATATGCAGTAAGTATAGGGTAGAGGAGGGGAATTGAAGGCCTTTAATTAGCCTAAACAGTAGGTGCTCTAAGATTTGGAAAGATAGTATCAGGCACTGAACAGAGCAGCAGACTGTTGGAGTTTTTTCTGGATAATTGTAAGGTGAAAGTGGGTAATGGCCATAGAGTGAGGTTTTGGGTTGATAAATGGTGCTATAATTTTTGTCTCAAAGTAGTCCTCTACTTTTGATGGTAGATGAGAGACATAGGGGTCTTAGGCCCTTCAGGTTTTTAAATGCATGGACATTACACCCAAATTTCCTACCTTTTGTAGAAAAGTGGTGGATGGAGCATAATGTGGAGGGATGGGCTGGTTTCAGACTATTTAAGAAGATGAAAGAGTTGAAAATAGCACTTAAACAGTGGAATAATGAAGTATTTGGTAATGTAAATACTAAACTGAAGCAAGCGGAGGATGAGCTTCATATGATTGATCTGGTAGCAGAGGAAAGAGAGCTTGAAGAGGCAAAAAAAAAAAGTAGAAGAAGAGAGGCTAGAGTTGAGGTTGGATATTTAACAAGAATGGTGGAAAGGTTGTGGTTCCAAAAATCGAGGCTTAACTGGAATTTTTATGGTGATAAAAACACAAGGTATTTTCATGTGTTAGTGAAATATAGGCAGGAGAGAAATGAAATAAACACTCTAACTGTTGGTGATGTGGTGGTTGATGATCCAAGTAGAGTTAAGCTTGAGGCCCTAGCTTATTTTCGGAAGCAGTACTCTAAGGATTGGCAGCATAGGCTTGCATTGGTAGGTCAATTTAAGTCAGTGAGGGATAGTCCTTGTTTTGATATGTTGGAGGCAAAGTTTACTGAGGTAGAGGTATGGGCTGCTGTCAAGGGTTGTGATGGGAATAGGGCTCCAGGTCCAGATCGTTTTAACTTGGCTTGTATTCAAAAACTGTGGAAGGTAATGAAGTCTGATGTGCTGAATTTTGTGTTCGATTTCCATAAGAATTGTAAGTTGGTCAAAGGAATCAATAGCTCTTTCATCACTTTGGTACCTAAAAAGGAGAATCCAGTGGGGTTGGCGGATTATAGA